TGTATCATTCTCAATTGGATGGTTACTCGGTTCCATGTGCTATCTGCTTTGGCTTTGACTACTTGGACTTCAGTGTGATTTTGCATTCTGGATTTTTGTGCTTCGTCCATACTCATGTTTCTTGCAATTTGGTATCGGAGCTGGTTTGATCGCCACTTACCTTTGGCACGCTGGCGTTATACAGACTTGGTGCGTTGATGATGCTTCTTCACAGTGGGTACTTGTGACGTCAGGCCACTATTGGTGCACGCCCTGGGTAGAAAGGGGTGCACCGGAAGGCTACAGGCGGCATATTAGCCGTGGTGACAGGCGGAATGTTTGATTGATGATGAGAGCATGCTGATGTGGCATTGGACTAAGGTGGCACTGCATTGCGTTGTGGGTGGTACCGAGGTCATGACCGGTCATCAAATGCAACATCGGCTCAATTGGTGGGAAATCTGTGGTTGGGGGAAGCTATCTCCAGGTATGTTGTTCCCTTACCTTATCTACTCTCTCAATCTCTTCTTACCGTGAGGAAGTGAGTCCAACTTGAGAGTCCTCTCTTTTGGTGAGGTGTCGTGAGCGCGCTACCTTGAGAGACGACAATCTTCCCGGAAGCATACTGGAAGGAGAAAGGGCGGTGCCTCTGAAGGGCCCTAGTCGAAGCACTTGGGTCACGGTCACCATGCCAACCCACAGGGAGTAGTGCACGCATGCGATGATTGCTGTCCTGTTTGACACTTGCTGCGCTGATAGAAGTTCCTCCGGGTGTGCCAGCCCATGACAGACGCTTACCAGACCGTCTATAAACATTTCTGGTTGGGAGTTCATTGTGATTCTGGTTGTGATCGTCGTCCTGACTGCGACGTTAAATAATTCCTGAAGAGATGGGGGCGCTCTATAAATTCCTCCTGATCAGCCAGATCACATGGACAGGAAGGGTCGTCGCCGTACGAGGGTAAATAAGAGTGGTTGGGCTGGCTTGCTCGGTAACAACTTGGGCACAGGGGTGGGCCGACATGCACACGAAGACACTGCCTGCTCAATGATGCTGTTCGGATGGTTGGATTGAGGGGAAGGGTAGGTTCCAATTGGTGCTCAACTGTAAAACACAACAATACCCATCAATCATACATCTGCTACATTGTCTTTTTGTACTTTGATTAGTTTGTTGACGGACTGCTAACCTCACACACAGATTAGTTTAGGACTGTTGTATGCTACCATAGCCAGTTCTAACTAACGCTGCTGTAAGTGAACCATTCAGGGTGCATCTAGACAATGTAGACAATCTGTGTGAATGTTGTAGACATGCCACTTAATTCGGTATAGTAGGATACTCGTCGGACACAACTATTGTTAGAAAATTAGGTGCCGGTCAGATACATGCTGTGGTAGGATTCCACTAGGGGATTCTAGTGCAGAAACTATCTGCCTAACTAATGAGTGGATCAGAACCTGTTGATGATAGAGCAGACACTAGAAGATTAACACGTGCACAGGCACTAAGGGTACCGCACGTGTTCAGGACCTTGGACGAGGAAGAATTCAGACAACTTTGCGCCGAACGCAGAGCCCGTGCTCTCGCAGCATCGAGAGCAACAGCAAACGCCGCAGCTATGGAACAGGTTGCCGCAGCAGCTAGGGCAGCAGCCATGACTAGCTCAACAGCATCCTTTGCGGCTTTGTCAGGGACTAATGGGATGAGTGTGGGAACGCCAACTAGTTCCACGAGTTCCTCGGGCACTTCCGGGTCTACAGGTTCTGAAGGGTCTTTTAGTCAAATGGCAGGCTCGCAGTTCAGCCCCATGACCGCACGAGAACGGGAGCTCAGAGAGATCCAACAGGTCGAGAGGCTCCGCCAGCAGTTGAGGAGGATCTGAAGAAAGCAACCGATAGAGAAAAAGAGATAAAAAATAGAGCAGCCAGACTCGATACGTTAGAGGCTGACAAGGCTGCATTAGAGGGATTGGACGAATCAAGTTTGTCTCACCCCCTGAAAGTGTTGAGGGACAACATGTTGTCACTGCATGCGCATGTGGACAGCAGGATGGACTTCATGCAAAGCACTTTGGACCAGATCCTGGATGCATTAACAAAGCCAGGATTCCGGCCACCAGCACAATCGTCGTTGCCGTTAACGGCGATGTCAGGCCCCTTTGCCGTACAAGCTGGCACACAACCAAGTGGTACGTCTGCAGCAGCAGCACAGACTGTTGCATCTTCTTCTTCGGGTCCAGTGGTGATTGCTACATCACCACAACAACCTGTTCAGCAATCTGGACAGCAGCAAGGTCAATGGTACCCCAAGACCCCAATGAAACCGCCTCTTGCCTTCTCGGGCGAGAGAAAGGACGAGGAACTCAACACATGGTTGAGGACGGTCCCAGTTTGGGTGAAGGCCAAAAGGACCTTGCCAGAGGATGAGGTGGTAACAGCGGCATCTTACCTAGAGGGTAAAGCAGCCAAATGGTTAGATGGGGTAGTTGTGAAAGCCGGGTACGGGCGACGCATGGCAGATTGGGCTAAGTCTTTGACTCTAGACCAATTCATGGAGATGGTAGAAGCTCGATGACATAACCCACAGGAGGCTCAAAGGGCCACTGATGCCATTAACAAACTTGACCAACGCAAGTTCAGGTCAGTTAGGGAGCTTACGACTACCGTCGAGAGCTTGATCCTCGTCCCAGGCATCAACTACAGTGACCAATTCCTCTTGATCACGTTTGTTAGATGTCTACCTGAGAACATGAGGAACTTACTAGCCAGTGAGGCACGCACGGAGTACCACTCATTTGAGACATTGTCTAGGAAAGCCTTAGACTTAGAGGCCACGCTAGGCAATGCTCAACCCACCTCAGGGAATGACTCAAAGAAGAAGAAGAGTCCTCAGGAGTGGAAGAAGAAGGGGGCAAAGTTGATGATGGTTGAGTCTGATGGGACTCAAACTGAGATCGATGAGCTCTCTGACATGATGGACTACTCAAAGTATGACGGCGAGGAGGTAGCTGAGGGTAGCACCCTCGCCGCGGTAGTAAAGACTAAGGCAGGTGGCCGAGGAAAGGGCCAACCTAGGAGTCAAGGGAAGGCCGCCTCCAATCAGTCCAAACAGGCTGAGTGGGTCAAGGCAGGTCTTGACCAAGACGTGTGGCGTGACCGTCGATCGCGTGGCGCTTGTATCAACTGCGATGAATACGGACACACGCAGTGGAAGTGCCCGAACGCTAAGGTTACACAAAAGGTTGCACCAAAGGTTGGGGCAACTATTTCCCAGGCTTCTAGCTCGGGAAACGCGCCAGTGGAAGTGATAGCGGCTTCTACTCAAGATGAAGTGGGAATGATACCCTCCTCACTTTATGACAAGGCCGAAGCTAATGACTCCTTAGCTACCCCGCAGACGCATCTAGACCAAACTATGCTCTGTACGTTAGATGTGTCTGAGGCCTTAGAAGACTTAGAAGGCGAGTGGTCAAACAAGGACCCTCGTGAGTCTTGGGCGGCGCTAAAGAAGGGTCCTAGAGGGGAACATTTCGTTGTGGAAGTGGATGTAGGAGGCCGCAAATGTGGTGCCTTCATAGACACAGGCTCCACGCGAAATTACA